CCAACTCAAAAAAAAAAAAAAAAAGCCAAGGGATAGCACTTTGCTTCTTCCTTCTTGTCCCTTCCCTCCTGGGCTCCCTGCTGTCGCCACAGAGGTTTGAGCAGGACCCGCAGGGCCTGGGTGCTGTCGGAGAGCCGTGCTCCGGCATCTGTCCAGTGTGGGCTGCCCGGCTGCTGTCTCACTCTGGCTGGCTGCCTGCTTTCTGTTATCCCTCTCTCTGCCCCAGAGAAGCTGCTAGCCAAGTAGGAGGCAGCCTCGTGTTTGTCCTTTGGCCCTCCTACTTGGTAGTTCTGATACAAGGCCTGATTGTCAGGGGATGGGGAGACTGGCCCCGGGCACAGGTGAGGTTTTGGGGTCAGTTGGGGTTTGCAGAGCCGAGTTCTGACCCCATTGCCATGACTTTGGAGAAGCCCAGCTGTTCCCTTCTCTAGCTCAGAAAGAGCTGAGCCCTCTCTATGATGGTTAGGTGTAAATTGAGGCATTTGGACTACTCTGTCTTTTTTTGTTTTGATTCAGGGTCTGTTGCCCAGGCTGGGGTGTAATAGCACGATCATGACTCAGCTCAGCCTCAGCCTCAGCCTCCTGGCTCAGGTGATCCTTCTGCCTCAGCCTCCTGAGTAGCTAGGACTGCAGGCATATGCTGCCACACCTGGCTTTTTACATTTTTTTTTTTGGTGGAGACAAGATCTTGCCATGTTGCCCAGGCTGGCCCCAAGCTCCTGGGTTCAAGCAGTCCTCTTGCCTTGGCCTCCCAAAGTGCTAAGCCACTGCACCCAGCCCTGGGCTACACAATCTTAAACCTCCCTCCTCCATTAGCATTCAAAGCAGGTTTGAGGCCCATGGACACAGGGATGGCCATCACACTCGCACATCAGGTACCTCATCCAGGCCTCCGGAAGCCCTTGCTGAGCGGAGCTGGAGCTTATCTGGCCCTGACCTTGCTGTTGCCCTTGACCTCGTTCGTGGGAGCATCTGGTCTTGGCCCAGGGCAGCCAGCAGCACATGGGGCTCCCATCTGAGAGGCTGGGAGCACACTGGTGTCCGAGAACTGGCTTGGGGGCCGGGGCCGCTGTCCAGCTGGATGGTCCTGAGCGGGTCACCCAGGACATCACCTCGTCTTCACTCCCTACCCCACAGGGTGACCGTGCAGTAGGCCGGGCCCGTGCAGGGTGGGTGCCCCAAGCCTGCATCTCCTGGCTCCCCCAAGCTCACACGCTCCTTCCCATCTCTCTTCCACACAGTTTTTCGGCAGCTCAACACGGCCATTGCTGTGTCCCAGATGTCCTCGGGCCAGTGCCGCCTGGCCCCACTCATCCAGGTCATCCAGGACTGTAGTCACCTCTACCACTACACGGTCAAGCTCCTATTCAAGCTGCACTCCTGTGAGTCGCTGGTGCCCCAAAGGAAAAGCAAGGAATCAGGAAGACACCTATTCACTTAAAAACAGCGAAAATAAGCTCATTGCCCCTTAGCATAAGTAACATCTTATGAAAAATTACTTCTTTCTAAAACAACAAAAAAGAGAGGAGTGGCATAGTCGTGTGCTTTTACTACTCTTAGGGGTTGACGGGCCCTCCCTTGCCCCGAGTGTCTCCCACCAGGTCCACTGGGGGAACCGGAGCAAAAGGCAGACAGTGGCCTGGGTGTTGGAAAGAGTTTTGATCTCACTGACCCTCTGAAAGGGTCTCATCCCTTGACCACATTCAGAAGTGCTGGCTTACGAGCTGTGTTAGCAGTGGCCCAGGGCAGGTGTGTGTGGAGAGGTGTGTCCCCTGCAGCCAGGCACAGGCCAGGTCTGGCATGGCTACAGCACCAGCCTCTCCACTCCCTCCTCTAACTCAGAAGATCAGAGCTGGACCCTCCGAGGTCTCGTCTCTCCTTCCCTCTGGTCTCGGGTGCTCTGTGACGGTGTCGAGGAACCAGGGAGGGGAAGCGGGCCTCGAGGCAGTGTGCAGAAAGTCCCATGAAACCTGTGCCGTTGTCCCCAGGTCTCCCGGCAGACACCCTACAAGGCCACAGGGACCGGTTCCATGAGCAGTTTCACAGGTGCTGGCCCCGGGCCAGGGGTGGGGCTGCGGCGCAGCTGGCGAGAGGCTCCGTGGCTCCTCCGTGACGGCCCCTCTGTCCCGCCCCTCTCAAAGCCTCAGGAACTTCTTCCGCAGAGCCTCCGACATGCTCTACTTCAAGCGGCTCATCCAGATTCCCCGGCTGCCCGAGGTACCCACTTGCTCCCCGGCCACCCACCTTGGCTGCTGCCCATGATCCCTGGGTCGTTCAAGGACTCTGGGCCCCCATGGGCTCTGAGAACAGTGGAGGGAGGGCAACCTGGGGTCGACTGGTTTCCACCCACTGCCCCGGCAGGGACCCCCCAACTTCCTGCGAGCCTCGGCCCTGGCAGAGCACATCAAGCCTGTGGTGGTGATCCCCGAGGAGGCCCCAGAGGATGAGGAGCCAGAGAATCTCATTGAGATCAGCACTGGGCCCCCTGCCCCGGAGCCAGCGGTGAGCCCCTCAGCCTGCCTTCCCCCACACCACACCCCAGGGCCTGCCGCTGCAGCAGAAAGCCAGGGAGTGTGGGGTGACTAGGCCCCCACCCACCCACTGCCCAGCGAATGGGGTGGAGGTCACCATGCTTTGCTATGGCAGGTGGTGGCTGACCTCTTCGACCAGACGTTTGGACCCCCCAATGGCTCCGTGAAGGACGACAGGTGAGGCCTGCCGAGCTGACTGCACCAGGGTGGCCGTGCCCAGGCCGCCTCAGCCTGCAAAGGCCACGGGTGGGAACATGAACCCGTGAGATGCCCAGGTCCCAGCGGCCACTCAGAAGACAAGCTCCCGTGCTTGGGTCTTTTGATCTTTCTGGGTGACAGTGTGAGCCCAGGACCTCTGTCCCCAGGGACCTCCAGATCGAGAGCCTGAAGCGGGAGGTGGAGACGCTACGCTCCGAGCTGGAGAAGATCAAGCTGGAGGTGAGGGCGTTGGGGCCGAGCGGGTTCCCAGCAGGCCGCGCAGGGCCTCACCTTCCCTCCCCCGCAGGCCCAGCGGTACATCTCACAGCTGAAGGGCCAGGTGAACGCGCTGGAGGCCGAGCTGGAGGAGCAGAGGAAGCAGAAGCAGAAGGCCCTGGTGGACAACGAGCAGCTCCGCCACGAGCTGGCGCAGCTGCAGGCCGCGCGGCTGGAGGGCGAGCGCAGCCAGGGCCTGCGCGAGGAGGCCGAGCGTGCGTGGGGAGGGGCGCAGGGGCAGGCGCGGAGTCCCGCGGGAGGGCCCCGTGGGAGGGCGGGCGCGCCACGGTCCCTCCTCTCGTCGCAGGGAAGGCCAGTGCCACAGAGGCACGCTACAACAAGCTCAAGGAGAAGCACAGCGAGCTCATCAACACGCACGCAGAGCTGCTTCGCAAGGTAGGCCCACCTCCACCGGGCGTGCGGAGGGCGGCTGGGGACGCCGCAGAGCGTGAGCCTGTGCCCTGCCGGTGCAGAACGCAGACACAGCCAAGCAGCTGACGGTGACGCAGCAGAGCCAGGAGGAGGTGGCGCGGGTGAAGGAGCAGCTGGCCTTCCAGATGGAGCAGGCGAAGCGGGAGTCCGAGCTGAGGGTATGTCCTCTGTGCGCAGGCGCGTCTCCCGCCCCGCCTCCCCAGCCCGCTGCCCTAGTGACACGCTATCCTGTCCCAGCTGGAGGAGCAGAGCGACCAGCTGGAGAAGCTCAAGAGGGAGCTGGAGGCCAAGGCTGGGGAGCTGGCCCACGTGCAGGAGGCCCTGAGCCGCACGGAGCAGGTGCTCTGGGGGCGTTGGGGTCCTGGGCGCCGGCGGAAGTCAGGTCTCAGGCCCCACCTGGATGCCGCTGGGTTTGGGGGTCCTCAGTGGCCCCGGGGTGCAGTCGGACGCAGACCGGGGGCTGCAAGGGAGACAGGTCCTAGTCTAGCCCTCAGGAAGCAGAGTCCACGGGGGGGGGTCCAGTCCACGGCAGGGTCTGTAATGGGACTGGGTGGCTCGGGAAGCCCTGCTCACTGCTGTGGTCCGTGTTGCAGAGCGGGTCAGAACTGAGCTCGCGGCTGGACTCGCTGAACGCAGAGAAGGATGCGCTGAGCGGGGCCGTGCGGCAGCACAAGGCCGACCTGCTGGCAGCCCAGAGCCTGGTGTGCGAGACGGAGGCAGCGCTGAGCCAGCAGCAGCAGCGCAGCGCCCGGGAGCGGGACGAGCTGCAGGGCCGGCTGGCGGAAAAGGTCCGGGCTCCCTGTTCCCAGCCGCGCCTGTGGCCTGCGCCGGCCAGTGTTCTTCACAGTTCAGACCCCCACTGCTGGAACGTTCTTATCGACCCAAAGAGAAACCCTCGGGTCAGACGCAGTGGCTCGCACCTGTGATCCCAGTGCTTTGGGAGGCTGAAGCAGGATTGCTTGAAGCCAGGGCTTTGAGACCAGCCTCCACATAGCAAGACCCAGTCTCTTACAAAAAATCCTGACTCAGGAACCAGTTAACCCTGTCCGTGTTCGCAGCCCCTGGCAGCCACCAATTTTTCTGTCTCTGTGGGATGGCCATTTCTAGACATTTCTTGTAAACGGATCATACACCATGTGACCTTTTATCTGGTGTAGTTCATTCAGCATCACGTTTCTGAGGTTCACCCATATTGGAGTGTGTGTCAGTTCTTTTTATGGTTGAGTAATAATCTGTTGTACAGATATGTCATATTTTGTTTTATCTGTTCATCTGTTGATGGACATTTGGGTGGTTTCCACTTTTTGGCTGTTGAGAATTTTGCTGCTGTGAACATCTGTGTGCCGATTTCTGTGGACATTTGTTTTGGTTTATCTGGGGTGTGTACCTAGTATGGTGGAACCCAATGGAACTCCTGGGTCTTATGGTAACTGTGTAACATTTTTAGGAACTTCCAGACTTTTCCAAAGTAGTTGCACCATTCTACACTCCCACCAGCAATGCAGGAATTCTAATTTATTCACTTCCGTGCCAGTGCTGTGCTGTCTTTTTATTTTAGTCATCTTGGTGTGAAGTGGCTTCTCATTGTGGTTTTGATTTGCATTTCCCTAATGGCTAATGTGCATCTTTTCACGAACTCACAGACCATTTGTGTAACTTCGGAGAAATGTCTGTTCAGGCCTTTGGCCTGTTTTTCAATTATCTTTTTATTATTAAGCAGTTCGCTTTTTCTTGCCCTGGGGGGAGTAGAGTGAGGCCTGTCTTTGGAAGTGTCCACCTCCTCCCTTTAAGCGAGTCCCCTCTGCATTGAGGGTCTTGGCTGGGCCCATGGGTTGATCCCCGGGCTGGGCACATGTCTGAGCTTTAGAGAGAGGACCTATGCTGCCGCTCTCCCCTCCCTGCAGGAGTCTGAGGAGCAGGGCCTACGGCAGAGGCTGCTGGACGAGCAGTTTGCGGTGCTGCGGGGTGCCGCGGCCGAGGCCCAATGCATCCTGCAGGACGCCGTGAACAAGCTGGACGACCCCCTGCACCTGCGCTGCACCAGTTCCCCAGGCAGGCGCTCGGGCCACTTCTCCCTCTCCCCGCTTGCGAGGGCCCTGCTCGCTGCCATGCGCGCCTCCTTCCTGTCTCCTGACTTTGAGGAGGGGCGGCAGGACCTCAGGCTCTCCCTGTGCTTGCAGACTACCTGGTGAGCAGGGCGCAGGCAGCCTTAGACGCCACGAGTGCCCTGGAGGAGGGCCATGCCCTGTACCTGGCCTCCTTGACTGGTGAGTGCAGCCGGGTGGGCGCGGCCCCTGGGCTTCCCCAAGGCTGGCCCCTGCCTGCTCCCACTCCAAGCCTGGCTCTACCCTGCTGGCAGGCAGGCTCGGGCCTTGGATTGGGGCCATCAGGTGTCTGCGGGGGTTGGAACCCAGGGGCCTGGGGCTGTGCAGACCCCTATTTGGTTCCTGCTGTTTTCTGGCTGGCTTACCTTGGGCACACCTTCTCATCGAGCTCCCCTTCCCTCATCCTGGTCTTGGCCTTGCTGGGGGTATGGGGGACGGCCTACTGGTGATGATGTCTTCAGCACCAGTGTCTCTCTTGCTCTCCTCCTCTGATTTGGGCCCGTCTACCTGCACAGATGTCTCCGCCTTAGTGGCAGCCCTGACCCGGTTTTCCCACCTGGCTGCAGACACCATCGTCAATGGCGGTGCCACCTCCCACCTGGCCCCCACTGACCCTGCAGACCGTAAGTGGTTCCCTGGACAGCAGGGTCCAGCTGCCTCACTGGCAACTCCTGGGGGGAGTCTTCACGGTAGTCTTGGGAAGTGGGACCTGTAGACAGGTACTGGGCCAGGGACTTGTGCTGGGGCTCAGCTCACATCCCTTTCCCACCCAGGCCTGATCGACACCTGCAGGGAGTGCGGAACACGGGCTTTGGAGCTTGTGAGGCAGCTGCAAGACCAGCAGGCTCTGCGGCAGGCGCAGCCCGGCCTGGTGCGGACCCCTCTGCAGGGCATTCTCCAGCTGGGCCAGGTGAGAAATGCAGCTGAGGTGCCAGGTGGGGGGCTCGGGACTCCAACTTCTCTGTGCCCACCGTCTGACCGGGCCAAACAAGGGTTTATGCAGGGAACCTGCAGCATGGGACACGGGGCAAGGACCGTATCCCCTCAGAGCCCTGGGGGTCCCGACCTCTTTCCCAGCTCCTTGTGTCTGCTCCTGTCCTTCCCAGGAGCTAAGGCCCAAGAGCCTGGACGTGCGGCAGGAGGAGCTAGGGGCCATGGTTGACAAGGAGATGGCGGCCACATCTGCAGCCATCGAAGATGCCGTGCGGAGGATCGAGGTGAGGAGGGACATGGGGACTCCTTGGTTTTCCTCTGGAGCCTGGGGGACTGGAGGCCCCAGCTGGGCTGCATGCAGGCTTGGCCTCCTGCACTCGGTCTCCGGGCAGGGGAGATGGCGTTTTCCAGGGGCCTCTGCAGTCAGAGCTGGGACAGCGGGAGATGGCCCTGTAGTCCCAGGACTACAGGTCTGGGGTCTCCCCACCCTCCATCCCTCACGACCCTTCTCCCAGCCACTCACGCTGTGTCGTTGGCACAGGACATGATGAACCAGGCCCGCAGCGCCAGCTCAGGGGTGAAGCTGGAAGTGAATGAAAGGTGAGCCTCCCCATCCCCCAGGCCAGGCCCAGGGTGGGCTCCCAATGGCCCTCCAAGTTCCTGGGGGCTCTGCCCCAACTGTTGAGCTCACCAGAAGGGAAGGCTGGGCACGGACAGGTATACACCTTGCTGCAGCCCTGCTGTGGCCAGGCCCTCCCATGGTGTCACGTGGCCAGGCCACAGAGGAGCAGCCATGTCTCCCCTTCTCTCTCCCCCACCCCAGGATCCTCAACTCCTGCACAGACCTGATGAAGGTGAGTGGGTGACCCAACTCCGGGGCGGGCTCTGCTGCACTGGGGGCCACCCTGGGTCACTTGTGTCTTGGTCTTGGTAGGCCATCCGGCTCCTGGTGATGACATCCACCAGCCTGCAGAAGGAGATTGTGGAGAGCGGCAGGGTGAGCTGGGCGGGCCACACAACTGGGTGGCAAGGGACACGTTCCCGAAGGGGGCAGGACCCTTGAGCCCAGACCCCCTCAGGCATGAGACCCCTGAAGTGCGCAAAGTAATGAGAAGCCCCCATCCGAATTGCCCCCATCCCCTACCTCGGGGAGGCCTCGGGGACGTGGCCCTGTGATAGGGGTGAGGGGACAAGCATCCCTAGGCGCCTGTTTCCTGTGATGTTCTTGACCGACTGGCCCTGCCCTGTTCTCCTGTCGCCACTAGGGGGCAGCCACGCAGCAGGAATTTTATGCCAAGAATTCGCGGTGGACCGAGGGCCTCATCTCGGCCTCCAAGGCGGTGGGCTGGGGAGCCACGCAGCTGGTGTATGTCACCCCGAGTAGGGGCGGGCAGGGGTCTGCTTCCTGCCAGTGGCCGCAGTTTGCAGGATGTGTGGTGCCAGGGGTCTGGGCAGGCGGAGTGTGGGGGTGACCCCAGGCATCCGTGGGGCAGAGACCCAGGCCCCTGACCGGCTCTGCCCCTCAGGGAGGCGGCTGACAAGGTGGTGCTGCACACCGGCAAGTACGAAGAGCTCATCGTCTGCTCCCATGAGATTGCGGCCAGCACGGCCCAACTGGTGGCCGCCTCCAAGGTGAGACTGTGCTGACGTCTGTAAACCGGCTCGGCCTGGCCAGGCTGTGGGGTCCTTAGCTGCTGGCTGTGGTTCCCAGGCCCAGGGCTGCTGCTGCTGCCGCCCTAGGCAGGAAGACCGCAGGCCCGCCTGATGCCATCCCCGCCCCCAGGTAAAGGCTGACAGGCACAGCCCCCACCTGAGCCGTCTGCAGGAATGTTCTCGCACTGTCAATGAGAGGGCTGCTGGCGTGGTGGCTTCCACCAAGTCGGGCCAGGAGCAGATAGAAGACAGAGGCAAGTGCTGGGGTCTGAGGGGGCTGCAGGCTCGCTGGGCTGGGCTGGGCTGGGCACTTAGACACTCAACCCTTGTCCTCTGGCCTAGACACCATGGACTTCTCTGGCCTGTCACTCATCAAGCTGAAGAAGCAGGAGATGGAGACCCAGGTAGGTGCCTGTGGGCAGCCCAGGGGAGGGGCAGGGCTTCCGGTGCTGGCCTGTGCTGAGCAGCCATGTGGGCTGCAGGTGCGAGTCCTGGAGCTGGAGAAGACGCTGGAGGCTGAGCGCATGCGGCTGGGTGAGCTGCGGAAGCAGCACTACGTGCTGGCCGGGGGGGCACCCGGCGCGGAGGAGCCTGGCCGGCCCCGCGCCACCCCCCGAAGCGCAGCCAAGAAACCACCCCTGGCCCAGAAGCCCAATGTGGCCCCCAGACAGGACCTCCAGGTGCCGGCGTCAGCCCAGGGACGGGAGGGAGGAGGCTTGTGGGGGCTGCTCTGGCTTCTCACAGGCCTGAGGGGCCCTGGCCTCTGGGAAAATCAGAGACCGCCGATGAACCCTTATGACACATGCGGGAGGGGCTTGCTCAAGGGAGGGCCGGAGGGGCCCGGCCACGTCCACTGAGTCCCCGCCTTTGACCCTGCAGCTCGACAAAAAGGATGGCATCTACTCGGCTCAACTCGTGAACTACTAGGCCCCCCAGAGATCCAGCAGGGTACTGGTGGGCAGGCCTGGGTCTCCTGTGGCCGCCTGGTGGGGCTGAGGGGCCTCCAAGGGGCTTGCCCCTGTACCTGGTGCCCAGGCCCCCACCCCACCACCCGGCTCAGTGTCCTCAAGGCCCCTGGCCCTCACTGAGCCTGAAGGGCCTGGGCGGGTCTGGGCTGTGTGGACGGTTCTTCTGGATGTGAGTCTGTTTGTTGCAAAAGGAACTTCGGAGAGCAGCCAGGACCAGCAGGCCTGAGCCGAGACTCTTCAGGAAATATCCGGAACATTTTTCATGTTCTGAGTTAGAGCTTTTCTTTCTAAGTTTATAGTCAGGACACTGGGAAATAGGGCCATGAGGGGCCTCGCTGCCTCTGGACTCAAGAGTTGGAGGTTGTCAAGACCAGGGGAGACATCCTGCCTACGGCCACCTTGGGGCAGCTTCCGTGAGGCCCTCAAGCTCTTAGCCTCCACACACCAGGCCCTGGGTGGGCTGGAGAGATGTCCCGCTCGAGCCTGGCATCCCTGATGGGATGGAGATCAGCGTGGGAAGTGACCGCTTCCGGGGAGCAAGGCAGAGAGGTGGGCAGATGCCGCCACCCCAAATCCCCGCCCGGCGGCCCTGGCCCAGCCGCCGCCCTCAGTCCTGGAGTTTCCGTTTCCAGCTGGAGTCTGCAGCCACCCCATTTCCTGTTTTCCATTCCCTTGCTCTGGCCATTACCCATCGCCCACCTCGAGGGGCAGTTTCCAGCCCACCTGAGGGTGGGGCCTTGGCCCTGGTTCTTCCAGTTCAGCCAGAGAAAGCCCAGAAAACAAGAACTCCCACCTGCCTGGTCAGGGCCCTCGGGGAGGGAGGCCTGCGGCTGGGAGCAGGCTGGCCGTGGGGTTGACCAAGTGTGTCCCTTGAGCCCGAGGGGAGTGGCGAGAGGGGTGGGGACCAGGTTGGGAGGGAGAGTCAGCAGCAGGGCCCAGCGAGCACCCTGCCTCCTGCCCCCAAGTCCTTAGCTGTTCACCCGTGCCCCAGAGGCGACTGGACACCGCAGTCTGGAAGGGCAGGAGCAGCTCCCCTGACCTGCGTTAGTACCTCCTCGTGTTCACGTGTTCACTGGCAATAAATGCACTTTGACTGTTGTCACCCAGGCCCCACAGCAAGGGGTTGTGCCTGGCTCTTCCTTTCTCTGGGGAAATGCACTTTCTTGGCAGACCCTGGCTGGGTGCCGGGTGGGAGTTTCTGCAGGCGCAAAGCACGCTGTGCCGGTGCTTCCACCAGGCCGTGCCCGTCGTCTCGGAGCTTTACGGACCTCGGGGCCCAGGGTCGGCCGCCAGCCCAAGGCCACCTCCATCTCCAGCCTGGCTGTCCACAGCCCCGGGGACCCCCATTGGTCGTCGACTCCCTCAACCATGCCTCAGCTGACAGTTCCTAAGCTGCCGAGGCTGAGCTTGCGGTGGGAGCCTGACTCCCAGCCGGCCAGGACTTGACCACTGTGGCCACACAGCCTGTGTGCTTCGTAGACAAAAGCATCCAGGCCCAAGAGCAGCCGGCCGCACAGGCACCCTCTTCCCGGGTGCCCCACCAGAGAGGAGCCTTGGGACGGGCTCGCCTTGACTTGTCCCTCACCCCGAGGTCCCCATCATTTCTACAAAAGGACACTGCAGGTCACGGGAGGGAAAAGTCACCTTGGCCGGCTCCCGGCAGCTGACTCCTGCTGTAACCTCAGACAAATCTCCCGCCCCAGGCCTGGGTTTCCTGGCTCAGGGCCGCGTGCCCAGGGCACCTGTGCCAGAAGGTGGGATCCTGCGTGTGACGGCACGTCAGCACCAAGCTGGAGCCCCTGCCTGCTTCTCCTAAGGCAAGACAACTTCAGGGCGCACTGGGAAGCAGATGCTCCTCGCTGCCAATTACAAACCTGCACGTCGGCAGGACTCAACTGCACTCTGAGGGCCTAAGGAAACCCAGTTTGGCCTTCTTGAGTCCTCCGTGACAAATGTGCTGGGCCGGAAGAAGCCTCAGAGGCTGGTCTTGGCGTGTCCACCCACCCCTCACTGGGACCCACCACCGTGCCTCCCTGGGCCTTCTCATGAGAAAGAGGGACACGGGGAGACGATCCAACAAGGTCGAGTATGTGAGGAGGCGTGGTGAATCCCGCATCCTCACTAGGGGTGGACAACAAATCTGGCTACGAGTTTCCCGGCACCCACTGGGAAAACAGTCTGAAGCACAGATTCTTTTAAGGCAAACTCATTTCTCAGGAAAAGCCTCCCTCTTCCTCACAGCAAAACCACCATCCTGCACATCCTCACAGGACAGTGATGTGCCAGGAACGGCAGCCTGTCTTGAGAAGCGCTGGGGAGGCCTGCGCAGTCTCAGTGTTCCCAATCTCTTGCAGGGGCATCACAATGCAGACACAAGCTCAGTCAGAGGGCAGGCACACGGGACTCGTACCCAGATCAGCTGGGCATGGAGGGCTCACAAGGGCACAGGTGCGGAGGAACAGCATGCCACTGTGCCCCCATGAAACACTGGCCCGCAAGTCTCCAAAGCGTGCCAGAGGCATGGGAATGTTCTCATTTGACACAGCCGAGCACAGTGGCTCACGCCTATAATCCCAGCACTTTGAGAGGTGGAGGCAAGAGAGTCGCCTGAGCCCTTGTCTCTACAAAAAAAAAAAAAAAAAGCTGGATGTGGTGGTGCATGCCTGTGGTTCCAGCTACTTGGAAGGCTGAGGAAGAAGGATCACTTGAGCCCAGCAGGTTGAGACTGCAGTAGCTGTGATGGTGCCACTGCCCTCCAGCCTGGGTGACAGATACTCCAATTAAAAAATAAAATCAAAAAATTAGCCAGGCGTGGTGGTGTGCGCTTCTAACTTGGCTGAAGCAGAAGAATCGCCTAAGCCCAGGTCAAGGCTGCTGTGAGCTGTAATCATGCCACTGCAGCACTCCAGCCTGGGTGGCAGAGTGAAACTCTAACTCAAAAAAAAAGAAAAACAAGCAGAGAACGTCCCAACTGGCATTTCCACCAGTCACACAGTACACAGAGGCAACCTTGTAGACAGGCCAGCCCAGTCCCCTGCCAGCACTGCGGCTGCGCTCCTGCAAACATGTTTCACACACAGGAAGACGTGCTCCTTTCTGGTCGCTGTTGCTGTTTATGAGACTCTGATGAAAAACCAAGGGGATAGAGGACCCCGTGGCTGGTGCCAGGGGCCCTGACAAGGCAGAGCTTTTGTCTCTAACTTGAAGAACAGATGCTCCAGTCAGCTTCCCTGCTGGGACTCTGATCCAGCTTAGGGAGTCTGTCATCCCAGCACTTTGGGAGGCCGAAGTGAGAGGACTGCTTAAGCCCAGAGTCCAAGACCAGCCTAGGCAACATAGCAAGACCTCGTCTCTACAAAAATAAAATTAGCTGGGTGTGGTGGCATGTACCTGTAGTCCCAGCTACTTGGGAGGCTGAGGTGGGAGGATCGCTTAGCCCCTGGAGTTTGAGGCTGCAGTGACCCGTGATTCTGCCACTGCACTCCAGCATGGGCGACACAGTGAGACCCTGATTCAAAACAAATAATTAGAACCAACCACACCATGAGCATCTATGTCCCCAGGTAAATAAGTGACAGGACTGTAATTAATAATTTCTTTATTAAAAAGGGTCCTACAGCTTTACAACCACAGCACCAGACACGGCCCTGAACGATGAGGCCAGTGTGGCAGCCCCTTCACAACACCGAGCTCACATCTGGCTGAGGACCCGGCTGGGCTGTGGGCATCCCCGACAGCAGGCCGGGGCAGAGGTATCGGGGTGGGTGGCACCACTGACTCGAGATTCACAGAACATGGCAAGCCCACCTGATTGGCGTGGCAGTGAATCATCCTATACAGCTCGTTTTCTTTAAAAAAAAAAAAAAATGTTACAATACAGTAGAGTTCAAGTCCAGGAGCAGGAATGTACGGTAATTGAGGACAAAAGTTGGTGGCCTGGCCTGTGGTCTGCTGGACTCCATTTCAGCTCTGCCTTGATTCTGTCACTCTGGGAGGCAGCTAGCTGGCACCTGGCCACAGGTCAGGGTCCTGGCTGCGACACAGGTGACAGGTGAGGGTAGGACCAGAAGTTCCAACGATGATGGGCACAGAGGCCTTTTTTGTCAACAGGTGAGATGCCACCTCCCCCAGCCAGGTCCTGGGAATTCAGTACACACGGCACATATGGACGAAGTCCCAGAGGGGGAGGAGGAGCAGGTGCAGGTTGCCAGGGTGCAGCCCCCGTGGGTGGGCGCTCTCCCCACCTTCCCCTGCACCTGCAGCGCAGGGGCCCATCCTGAGGCCCAGCCACCACCAGCCGGAAGCAGAGAACATTGGCTAAGAGTATCCTGGTTCAAGTGGCCAGATTGTTCTTCCACCTGTAACGAACAATGAGCTCGGACAAGCCCTTCTGAGAATATAGAGCCACAGGGCCCTGCTCGGCCCCTTGCAGGCACCCGAGTCCTGGCACCAGGAGAAACTAAGGCACAGCACGGGCCCCACAGGTGGGACCATGCACCGCGTGCACGAAGGAAACTGCATTCACTTCATCTGCATTTCAATCTGCTCAAGACAATATTTGCATTTTTTATAAAATTTCCCTGAATGGTCTTGGGAGTGTCAAAAAAGGTTTTTCTTCTTCTCAATATAAAACAGGAAAATTACACACGTAGTAAAAATATTGGGGGAGCATGTCTTCATAGAAACCCTCGGGGCCGGCTAGAGGCAGAGGGGGAAGGGGCCGGGGCAGCTTGCTGTGCAGAGCCCAGCCCAGGCGCCCGCACGCAGCCGCAGCTCTCCCGGCCTCTGGCCACAGCAGTGTGCCCAATGCAAACTCTGCTGTGGCTCTGAAGCGTGAGGAGCAGGGGGCACCATGATGACCTGCCCCGGGAAGCAACAACGCAGCTGCGCACGGTGGCCTGGCCATGGCACACGTCGGGGCAGCTGGCACTGATCCAGCCTCTCAGAACTACGGCAGCTGGTGGGCCGAGACACAGGCCTGTCCTGAAAGTAGCATCGGTGCCGGGCTTGGTGGCTCAGCCCGTAATCCCGCGCCTTGGGAGGCTGAGGTGAGTGGATTGCCTGAGCCCGCGGGTTCGAGACCCGCCCGGGCAACTTGGTGAGGCCTCATCTCTACAATAAAAGAAAAATTAGCTGGGTGTGATAGCATGCACTTGTAGTTCCAGCTACTTGGAAGGCTGAGGCGGAAGGATCACCGGAGCCCAGCAGGTCGAGGCTGCGGTGGCCGGGAGCGGCCACTGCACTCCAGTCTGGGCGACAGAGTGAGACTCCAACTCGGAAAAAAAAAAAAAAGGAAAGGAGCATCGGTGTCATTAACCATCCTATTAAATAAAGCTGCAACAGGAGGACCACGTGTCTAAATGGGGACGGGGCAGAGACTTCGTTTCTTCCCAAACGCATGAGTTCGTCGACACTACAATACTTAGAAATCACACCGAGGACGCTAACCGACGCGACGCACAGGCTGCCAGGCTGCGACTCCGCACACAGCCACCTCGGCGGACAACCTGGCTTCTACTTCTACTTCCCACTGACCTACAGTTCGAAATCAGACGGACACGCTGACCCCGGCACAGAGCCCTCGGCACAGCAGCGGACCCCGGGCTCCCGAGGGCGCGGCAGGCAGGCAGGCGAGTGTCCCGGGAAGCGCGGGCTGGCGCTCACTGGAGGATGAAGCCCGGCTGGTGCGGCGGCAGCCGGGGCGGGGGTCTCTGAGGGAGAGCGGGCGGGTACGGAGCCACGAACTGGGCGGAGAATCCTTGCTGGGGCGGGAGGCCCACACGGGGGGGCAGGGGCGGGCACTGCACCCCTGGGTATGGCACGGCCTGTCCTGAGCCCATGGCAGCAGTGAACGGGGTGGCTAAGCGTCCTGCAGGCACCGGGGGTGGCGGAGGGGGGATGCGCCGAGGCACGACGGAGGGGGTGCCGCTGGCCTCTGGGCCAGGGCATGGCAGGGGGACGGCCGGCGCCGGCTCGGGCACCCTGGGGGGCAGCGGGGCCGCGGCCTGCAGCAGTCTCTGGCCCTTCAGCACCATCTCCTGGAGCTTCTCGATTTTCACCCTGCGCATGTGGGCCAGTTTCCGCTGGCTCTGATAGACATCGATGAAGGAGTCCAGGGGGAGCTCTCCGTCCAGAAACTTCTCTGCCATGTTCTGAAAGAGGCAGAAGCCTGGTTACAAGGACAGGCAAGATGACAGGGAAGAAAACTCCCTTCATGGTCCAGGGTACAGGGAGAGGAACACCCCCTTTCCTGGCAACCACCCCGAGGTGCCCAGGCTCCACCACTCCCTGCAGACCCTGGGGGTCATGGGCTCAGGCTGGCCTCAGCAGGCGCCGCCAGCAGGTGGAGCCACGGGAAGGAGAAGGGGTCTGTCCTGCCGTCCACCCCACCTTCTGAACCACAAGTGTGGACAGGCAGCAGGCCTGAGGAGCTGGCCTTCCGATGAGGGGCCCCCTGGGGGCCCTGACTTCTGGGCCTCCCTGGCCTAACTTGTCAAGCCAGCACCTCCTTGCCTCTGCCCGGCTGCACCCCGGCTGACAGATTCGCCCTGGACACGTCGCAGGACAGAAAGCTGCCTGTGCCCGTCAGGGTCCCCCCAAAGCCTAAGTGGTTAAGCAAACCCACAGAGCCTGGTCTCGGCAAGACCCTGGCAGCCCCAAGCTGCTACAACTGGTCAACATTCACCCCTGATTCATTTCCTTAGTGCCTGGCGAGGTTTCGGCCTCGAGTACTCAGCTGACCATGCCCAAAAGGCCCTGTGGCCACCAGCTGACTCACAGACCACAGATGGTAATCCTGCCACTGGCACCCACAGGCTGGCGCCAATTCAAGGTGAAGTGTGCCTGCCCTCACTTGGCGCTCACTTAGGTCTGCACTTGACCGCCCTGCTGCTCCCCGGGGGCCCCCTGCCGGCAATTTCCCCAGCCTACAGGCCAGGCCACCTGCTCACACGCAGCCTGTTCGCCTCAGAGGTGGCACCTCCAGCAATGTGGCGCACTTGCTGTCCCTGGAGGGGGACAAAGTCACTTTGGAAACCGTGCCCTGGGGCATCCGGCCAAGGTTGGCTGGCTTTACCTCAGTGTCTTCCTCAATCTTGGCCCCTTCTGCTTGGAGAAGCGCTAACAGGGTCTCCAGGGAAGCGCTGCTCGACTGCTGATCTGGAAGAAGAAGAGGTGGGATGTGGTGGGGCACGCAGACCAAGCCCGCGGGAGGACAAGCCCCCCAGATGCCCTCCCGTTTCCACCGTGCTCACTGAAAGGCAACAGGAGTCACACCTACAGACAGCTGACTTCCAGGACGCTGCAAGCGAAGGCTGTAAAAGCCACAAGAGGGACGACTGACTGCACAGGACAAGTGCCCAAGGGCCAGCATCTCATGTCTGAGCACCCAATGTCACCGTCTGCCCTACAGAGCGGGCTGTTTTCAAATATGTGGCAGTGATACTGTAACCATACCAGTTTACATTTCCTTTATGTTTCCCAGTGGTACTTACATCAAGTATATACATCTTAAGTGTACGATGCAAACTCACATGCGTGTAGCCCTCAAGCACTCACCTGGATTGAGATACACGCCATTCCACAGAGCTCCCTCATGCCCCAGCAGCCCCCAGGTAAGCCATGCACAGACTTCCGCCACGCAGTTAAGTCAGTTTAACGTTAGTGGAATCAGACAGTATGCATTGTGTGAGCTTCTGTCGCTAAACCACGTCCCTGAGACTATGTTCTTGCATGCATCCGTAATTCATTTCTTTTCAATGCTGTGTAGTATTCCAAGGTGTAAATATAATGTATTTACCCATCACTCTATAGATGGACACTTCAACTGTTTCCAGATTTTGCTATTACAAATAAAGAAACAACATTCTCATACCACCTTCTGCTAGACATAAATGTCTACTTTGCTGGGTTAAGACCCATGCTCTTAACTTTGAACTGCCGGCCAGGCTTGGTGGCTCAGTCTGTAATCCCAGCAATTTGGGAGGCCGAGACAAGTGGACTGCCTGAGCCCGCAGGTTTGAGACCCACCTGAGCAACTTGGCGAGACCTTATCTCTACAATAAAGCCAAAATTAGCCAGGTGTGGTAGCGCGCGCCTGCAGTTCCAGCTACTTGGAAGGCTGAGGCAGAAGGATCGCCAGATCCCAGCACATCGAGGCTGCGGTGGCTGGGAGCAAGCCACTGCACTCCAGTCTGGGCAAGAGTGAGACTCCGACTCAAAAAAACAAAAAACAAAAAACTTTGTACTGCCAATTACTTTCCCAAGATGACCTAACCAATGTCTACTCCTACCAGCAATGCAGAAGCTGCATGTCCATTTTCGCCAGCACTTAGCACTGCTGGCCTTTATTTTCTTCACTATGCTTGGCTATCAGACACCACTGTCAACCTCACTGAAAGAGAGAATTCTTTTTTTTTTTTTTTTTTTTTT